AAAAAAAATATCTATCTTTCTTAAAATTTAAAAAAATGATCAGCCAAAATTTAAATAAAGAATAATCTAATATTATAAGACAAAAAGAGTAAATATTTTTTTTGTACATTTAATAATGATGCATTATATAAAAGAAGATAGTCTTTTCATTTCCTTAAATCATTTTCCATCTGATTTAATGTTCAAACTAAAAACTTCTAATTTAGAATTTTAATCTTTTAATCATTAAATTACCCCTTTAAAGGTAGAAAAAAAGTAAATATTAACTATTCTATAAACCATCAATTAATAACTACAACCATCAACTTGTTATGATAATTAAACTAAACACATTTATAATTTTTGTTTGAGCATAACAAATAATTATCTCGTCATAACCATATATCCAAAAATATCAATTGAAAGTAGTATTTCCAACATAATTAAAAGTGTGTCTATCATTGCACTAACAAGTAACAACCCTTGGTAGGCTGATAATATCTATCAAACATTATAACTCAAACCAATGTTCAAATCTTTATTAAGATATTTGTAATATTTCCTCTTTTTTCAAATTTCTTCCTTATTCAAAAAAAAAAGAAAAAGAAAAAAAGAAAAGTGTTTCTATCCTTGATGCAAACGTTGTTGAATATAACATTGTCTTTGCTTCTTGTCGTTTTTTATGGAGGGACAACTGCTTTTGCTCTCTTACACACGCTACCTCGCCGCCACCTCAGCAGTCTTTCTTTCCCTTCCACTTCACATTTGTTGGTTTGTTTGTTTGTTTCAGGGCAGTTTGATTTTTTTCAATTAATAAACTTGATCATCTAATCCCATTAATTTAATAACGACAACTTGGAAGAAGACAAAATGAGGCAGAACACGTTAGATCCAAGAATATGCCAAAGACTTTTGCTCCCATCTAATTTTGTGTTTTAAACAAGTTCATGTGAAGATGTCAGGTTTTATGATCGGACAGCTTGATTAGGTTTCACTATTTGACCCTCAATTCAAGTGGGAAATCCCTGAAAATTCGAAGAATCTAAGAAAAAAACAACAAATTGGTGATATACCTTACTTTAGCTTCTCCTTGGCAATTTCACAATTTACCAAACTAGGGAGTCTCATGTGCTTAATTGGATGCATAACCTTGTCTTGTGCATTAGGAGTGTTGTTAGTAGCTTTCATTTCACCAACTACTCCTTGATGTTTTTGATTATCCTATTGGTGGAACTTGGATTAGAAGATCTAGCTA